TCTCCAGTTCATATTGATCTTATGGGTTAATGCCTTCGAGAATGTCCTTCACAGCCCTGCTCAGCTTTTGTAAACTCAAGGCTTGTGGCTTCTGTTATGTTATACAATCCATTGTATAGTTGGTCTTCCCCTTCTTCCTCTTCATTTAACTAGCATTTTCTTCTCCAGTGAATTGTGCCTTCTCATGTGGTGCCCAAACTGCAACAGCTTGAGGTTTGTCATTTTTGCTTCCAGATATTTGAGAGGTGTTTCAGATTGGGTGGTAGTTGTCAAATTCTGTTGGGTTCAGAATGAGTTCCTTCAGGAGTGGTTGCTCTATTGTTTCCTTGAGGACAGCAGGAGTAACCTATTCATGCAAAAATGCATTTACCACTCTCTGGATCTACCCAGCCCTATCTTCTCAGCTAGTTCTTATGAACCAGGAAAGGCAAGGTTTGAGAGGGCCTGTGGCTGACTGCACTGTTGCAAGCATCTTGTCCACCACACCAGACCACAGGAAGTGATCAGGCATATGTTGGCAAGAGGCCGTTCAACATTTGCCTGAACCAGTTCAGTGCAGAGGCAAGCAATCTTGTCCTCAGAGTGTTATTAGTCATGGCAGCTGTATGCAGCCTCTAAGTTTGGAGCCACTACACAGCCATGTTTGGGAAGGGATGACAGGAGAGGACTGTGGCCTTCATGCACTGCTTATGAGCTTCCCAGGATGGGGGTCTCCACCAGCCTTTGGTTCACTCCCAGCACAGCAATCTGATAGGAATACCAAGTGTGAATTTCGTGCATATGAAGGATAATGAATACAGAAGGGTGATATTAGTGAATTTTGCTGATGGTAGAGTTGCTAGGGGTCCGTGTGGGAGTAGGGTCACTTCCAAGATGATCCTTTTGGAACCCCATTGCCCTGTCTCATTCACAGAAATTTATCGGGCATCCAGACACTGTCCATGCTTTTCTGATCTTTTTTTCTTAATACAGAAAATCCATTCAGGAAAGAAAAAGATGGAGCAGTGGCACAACGATGCTCCAGGAGCTCTCCACATGGAAGTGCCCTCCACGCTTATGTCCTTCCTGCCATCGTTTCCTGCTCTGGGGCTCTCTGCCTCACTGCTGAGAATGTGTGGGACCAAGTGATGGGTCAGTGCTCACCCTGGCAGAGCACTGCCGGGCATTGCCGGCAGCTACAGCCTCAGCCTGTCTACCTATGATGAAGTCAAAGCCCCTCCATCGCAACAGGAAAGATGTGAGCCTATGCTGAGCTCTTCCCTTTTCATTAGCATCATTTCAAAATCTTAATTTTGTCCGGGCCACATCTTGAACTTCTACTGGTGTGTTTCATGCAGGATTACTTAAACAAGTATCTTGGGGATCCAAAGTCACCAGCTGACCTTAAAAGGACAGAGTTCAATTGAAAGATTTTTAGTAACTTGGGAGAGGCAGTTTATATGCAGACAGTGTTTGGCAAGGCATATAATGCACACACAAGCAATGGATATTTTCTTTTCAAATGGGTCAGAACTTTAGGCTTTAAATAGCTCTTAAAATATTGCAGCTTGCCATAAAATCATCCTTGTGCTAATTGTTCTTTTAGCTTTAAAACAGATTAAAAGATCTCTTGTGCTCTAGCTGGCTGCTTCGGGCATGTTCGCACAAAGGAAAATGCAACATAAAATAGATCCCATCTTCACTAAGCCAGGATCTCTTGATAACCAATCCCATGACATGCAAAATTGTGTGTGGATGTATGTGCATGTGCACAATGAAGCAAACACTGAGGCCTGTTGTGCAACTAATCACTGCCTAGTTAGGTGTTTGCTGTGTTTTCCTCTTATATATGATAGACTGAACTGGGACCAGTTCATAAGGAGGGAAAATACTCAAAGGATGGACCTTGTTGGGAGTGAGAAAGATGGCTGCTTCGGCTGCATATTCTCAAGGCTGCTGCCCGGTCTCCAGAAGAGGAAGCACAGGAGGAAGATGAGGCACAGGAAGGAGCCGTGGAATGTGGGCCAGTTTCAGACTTGAGGTGAGAGAAGCAAAGATGCTTATCTCAAGACCAGATGGCCCAGGTGCGCAGACAGTCTCTGGGAATAACTGGGATGTCCAGTTGTCGAAAGAGGACTCACAGCAGCAGGAGGCAGGCAGAGCTCTTGACCCCATGAGAGGAGGATGGGGCCCAGTTAGAGGACGGGGCCCGTGCTTGCTTTCAGAAGGATGGGGCCCAGGTATGTTCATAAGGAGGATTTCTGAAGGGAAATACTAGACTAGGTTCAGTAAACCACTCTGTGCATGCTCAGAGATTCATTCTGGGTGTTTGTACATCTGGAAAATGCTTTGGTCAATAAAGAACGATTTGCAAGACTGGTCTGTGACAATGGGATGAGGAAAATCCAATCTAGAAGCACCCCGGGGAGCCAGTGGGCTCAAATTGCCCAGTCTTGCCTCAGTTCTCTCACATTATCTGCTACCTGACCCTTTTAGCACATGGGAGAGCCTCTAGTGGTTAGAGCATTGGACTGGGGCTTGGGAGACAGGGATTCTACTCCTCATGCAGGCTTTGGGCCAGTCACGTTTAAGGTATCTCACAGGGTTGAACTGAAGTTAAACAAAGAGGAAGAGGATTATGTAAACCAGATGGTTTCCTCACAAAGGGATACAAATGCAATGTAAAATTCACAAAGGGAAGGTGTGGGGAGGAAGGGAAAGTACAAATGTCTATCCTTCCTCATTTGCAAAACTTCCCCTTCCCTATGAAGCCTGAATAGGACAAAGTTTCTGGGCCAAAGTGGCGGGAAGTTTGTACACTTTCCATATGGGCTGGTTTATATCAGACATACAGGCAGCATTTCGAAGAGGCAGAGGAAGTAGAGATCAAATTGCCAACATACATTGGATCATGGAGAAAGCTAAGGAGTTCCAGAAAAACATCTACTTCTGCTCCATTGACTATGCTAAAGCCTTTGATTGTGTGGATCACAACAAATTGTGGCAAGTTATTAAAGAGATGGGAGCACCAGACCATCTTATTTGTCTCTTGAGAAACCTATATGTGGGTCAAGAAGCAACAGTGAGAACTGGACACGGAACCACTGATTGGTTCAAAATTGAGAAAGGAGTTCAGCAAGGCTATATACTGTCACCCTGCCTATTTAACTTATATGCAGAGCACATCATGAGAAAGACAGGGCTAGATGAATCACCAGTTGGAATTAAGATTGCTGGGAGAAATATCAACAACCTCAGATATGCAGATGATACCACTCTAATGGCAGAAAGTGAAGAGGAACTAAAGAGCCTCTTGATGAGGGTGAAGGAGGAGAGTGCAAAAGTTGGCTTGAAACTCAACATTAAGAAAACTAAGATAATGGCATCCGGTCCTCTCACTTCCTAGCAAATAAATGGGGAAGAGATGGAGATAGTGACAGATTTTATTTTCCTGGGCTCCAAGATCACCACAGATGGGGACTGCAGCCAAGAAATTAAAAGCTGCTTGCTCCTGGGGAGGAAAGCTATGGCAAATATAGACAGCATAAAAAAGCAGAGACATCACCCTGCCAACAAAAGTGCGTATAGTCAAGGCTATGGTTTTCCCAGTTGCAATGTATGGCTGTGAAAGTTGGACCATAAGGAAGGCTGAGTGCCGAAGAATTGAGGCCTTTGAATTGTGGTGCTGGCGGACACTCCTGCGAGTCCCTTGGACCACAAGGCGATCAAACCGGTCAGTCCTAGAGGAGATCAATCCCAACTGCTCTTTAGAAGCCAGATACTGAAGATGAAACTCAAATACTTTGGCCACCTAATGAGAAGGAAGGACTCCCTGGAGAAGAGCCTAATGCTGGGAACAATTGATGGTAAAAGAAGAAGGGGACGGCAGAGGATGAGGTCGCTGGATGGAGTCACTGAAACAGTCGGAGTGAGCTTAATGGACTCTGGGGGATGGTGGAGGACAGGAGGGCCTGGAGGAATGTTGTCCATAGGGTCACAATGGGTCAGACACAACTTCCCGACTAACAACAACAAAAGTACTGCAGCATTTTGCTGCAGGGCCTGCTTCTCCGCCACATGAGAGTTCCTTAAGAAATTAAAAAATGAGCCTGGCCTGATAACTTCAATGAGATTACTCTGGTTTTGTAACCAGGCATGAGTTATTTTTTCCCCCTGAATAATGTATTGGAAAGATTTCAAGTGTAATTCAGCCAGTGAGGTACTTTTAAACCTCATCGGTTACAAAGAAAGAGGGCCTATACCCCTCCCCACCCCCGACGGAAATACATGGACTCTGCTGGGGCTTCGCCCTGTACTGCGTGTTCTTGCTACATATCACTGCATGTCCGAGATTTCTCTGTTGTGGGAAAACAGCACTGCTTAAGAACATAAAGTGCCACAACGGTTTCGTGCCCGCTTAAAGACCAGGATTTTAAATGCATTGCGTTGCACAATGGCGCCATCCACTGGTAGGCAGGCAGCCATGAAACAGTAGCGAGCTGAGTCGTTTCTCTCTGGGCCAAACGCTATCCTTCCATTTAACGGATACTAGAAAAAGTAGTTTTCCTTGCTTTAAATCCTAGAAAGAAGCTTAGCTTATACATCTGACCATGATGGTGTCAATGTGCTAAATTATTCCTGAATTATGCGCATTTTCTTTAAAAATTATCTTTTTAAAATGGATAATTCTGAACATTTCTGCTTTTTCTTTTTTCTTTTTCATCAGTGTGTGCTCAGATGCTTTGTCTCAAGTGCATTTTAAGATTTCTGCCCATTTTTTTCTCCATTGCCCCACAGCTTTGGAAATTGCTTTTTCACATTTTAACTTCTCTTACCAATTGCCTTTTGTCATTATTAATGGATCCATCCACGCACAGGATTTTTCCATGATGGGTTGGAGAAAGTTGCACTATGGTATGTAATGGCAATGGGCACTTATAGCCTATGTTGCTATGCCATGCATTTCCTTCTGCCTGTGCTCTACTGCTTAGAATCACCGTCCATGGCATTTTGAAACTTACAGAACGGCAGAAATTCCTGAGGTTTGACACTGCTGATGCGGAAGATGGTTATCCGCAAGCTTCACACGAGAGGCATCACAAGCAGCAACACCACTTTACCTGGAGAGAGCATAAAAATAGAATAAAAGAAAAAAAAGTAGATGTACAGACACCATGCAACACTCTTAAGTGTGTCGTGTACTTTCTGGCATCACCACTCTTCCCATCACATTGACTGAGTCTTGGGATTTGTCAGGAGGGGATTCAAGTGTTTGAGAATGATTTCCTCCATCTGAAGATGCTGCGGAGTGTATTTTGCAGGAGGATGAGAAATGGACCCGCTTGGTCAGGCTTTTGTGATGTAGAGGAGGACTACTGGATGACCCACTTCACTTTTTGCATTATTGTCAGCTATTTTTAACATGAGCTTGCAAAACAGAACTTTTGCCTACTTGGAGTTTGAAATGCACCAACCTTCTTTTGGATTGCACATTTTGCCCTGGTGCAGCTAAGAAAGAAATAAAGAAGGAGAAATGGAAGGTGGAGTTGGAAGAGTTACGATTGGAAGATGTTGGCATCTGGACAGCCTACAAAATGTCATGAATGAGGTAGGGCAATTGCTCAGTAAAAGCCAATCTACATGCAGCCCCTGATTTTGTCAATAGGTAGACATGAACAATGCATACATGTTTCATTTTTTCATCTGCGACTGAAATAGGCAATTCTTTCCCTGGCTCTCATCACCCCTGTAATTGCATCTGAGTATAGTTAATATGGAAGAGTGAAATTAAGCGCTTAGCTTCCTCTCCACTTCTAGGCTAAGCAGTCCAGGGAATATAACAGATACTCGAGTATTTTCAAAACAACATTCCTTGTTACTACAATTCATATTATTTGAGGAACTGCTTCAGAGCTAAGATTTGCACCCAGAGAGGGAAAAAGGCCTCTCACCCAGGCATCCAAGAAGAAAGAAAAATTAACACTTGCAATCTTTTGTAAACCAATAAGCACACTCTCTAGCCCTCAAAAATTGGAACTGCTGCTACAATCTACTTCTTCATCTTTCTAGCCCACATTTTTTTAAAAATACAACAACAATCCAGATGATTCGCTAACCCTGGACTGCATTGCAAGTTGTGCTACACCATGGAAACTTTTTTTATTCGCCATCCAGCAAGCTCGATAAAAAATGGGCTAATTTGCAGGACTGGCATAGCCACAGCACTATCTCCTGCAGTAATGATTGATTTTATCCACAGGCATCGTAAGGTCATTCTTTTTAATATTTGCAAACTTGATAAGAAAGAAGATGAGCCTTTTTCTTTTCACTCTGACCATGGCAGGGGGCTGATTCAGAGCCTAGCATTGAGAGAGGGGGATTTTTAACCCCTTCCCTCCCTTGCTATGATCCCAATCTGGATCAGGTGCACCGTGCCTGCAAATTATTTTACAAAGCAGTGATCCATGCATTAAGAGAAGTGGAGCAAGGTTGCCAGGTGGGCACTAAAGCCACTTGTAACCACTCTGTTGCAAGTGCCACTTAGAACGCCCCCAATGCCTGCTGGCCCCAAATTCTGGATGCCCTTTCAACATTGGCATGAAACTTGAGCTCTCAATTGCTCCCATGCTGTACTAACCTACCAAGTCTCCTCTCTCTGCTAATCTCACTTCTATCATCCTCAGATCACATGTGTTCTTTCACATGTACAATCAGTTCTTATTCTAAAATCACAAATGCTGCCTGAAAGTAGAATAAATAGCAAGTGTGTTTTAAGTCATTCATTATGCCTGTTTACTGAATTAGTTTGATTTTTTTAGTTGTATAGAAATTGTATCATTCTTTTTTAAATTATATATATTAAACAGAGTTATGTATTGCATTATTTAACACTAATAATAATAATAATAATAATAATAATAATTTGATCATAGCATTGACTGTCTGGAACAGAGAAAAGAGGATCCAAACTCTGTAACAAAACAAAATAAGGAATAAAGACAGTTACAGAAGTGTTATTGTCCTGATGCAGTTTGAGAAACTCAATTTCCTTATCAAGGAATGTCTTTTGAAAATAGCTATCCATTCTAAAAATGCAGAATTATAATTTACAAGTCCCATAATGGAAAACACCAAAATTACCATAGCTTATCGAACTACCATACTCAGCCATGATTTCAATATAATATATTTAATTAACTGCATAAAAATATGAAATTCATATTTCATATGAATTTGAAACCTTTGACAGCGCAATGCAATCCTATGGATGTGCTGGGAAAGTCCAAATAGATCCTCAAATAAAAATATATGCTTTTGCATCTCCTTTAATATAAAATCTGGCAGCAGTGCCCTTACTCCTCTTACTCAAAGGGACTAGAATTTTTCATCCAGGTCCATACTCCTGGGCAGTGCTTTTTTTGTAAAAAAAAAAAAAAAAAGGTGCTGGAACTCATGTTACTGATATCTGCAGTAAGCACACACACCAGTCCCAAGCTGAGAAGCGGAGCAGCAGCTCTCACTAGCAGATAGCAGATAGCAGACACAATAACAGCCTGCAGGCACTAGGTTAATGATGTTTGCTGCTGATCTGCTACTCCCTTCAAAATCACTGGCCCCTGCTCCTGGGAAAGGTAGGCAGCCCCAAGGGCTCCATTATTCATGCATTTTCTTGCTGGGTAACTCATACACACCAGAGGAAATGCAATGCAAAGTATTATTGAAGTAGCCCTCATAAAAGTTATAAGTTCTATATGTTAAAATACAGAGAGCCTCACCCATCTTCTCCCCATCCCCATCTGCAGAGTTTTCCCTTTCTAATCCCTTCTCCAGGAAAAAGAAAAACAGCCCCAAACCCCACCACCACCACCCTCAGTCAAGCGCCTAGCTGAAACAGCACTGAAATAATGTTAAAAGCCAATGAGGCAGCTGTGCTTCCCTTGCAATGTAAAAATACCTAGTCAGTTCATGCTTTGTCTTAAGGAATTCTGTATCTCTGATTGCAAAAACCACATTTTAAACCTTTTAGATTTCTGTAACTCCTGATTACTTTATTTGTTCTCTGTTACTCAAGCATTTGATGGGTCATGATGTTTTTCCTGATGCCTATAATGATTTCTTAAATGTTCTTTGTAGACATACAATTCATATGTTTAATTCTCTTTCTTTTTGTCTTTACTAAGAGGGTAAAGATTATATTTGTCAGCAATTACAGTTCCTTAATGCATTGGGTTAAACTGAGTGCCTTCCAGGTGCTTTGGACTATAACTCCTGGAATCCCCAGCTCTTGACCAATCTTACCCAGACAAGGTTGCCCACCACTAGGTTAAAGAATCGGGAAGAATAATTATGGTGCTTTTATGAGATTTTAAAGTTTAGCTTTCGATGTGCATTATGTGGCAGATCTTCCACCCGCAGTGTCCTGCTAGCTCAATGGAGTGGTTTTATCAGATGCTTTAGCCTGATGGATCATTGTGGTTTTGGAATACTCTCCTACTGTAATCAATTTGTGGGATTAGGGATGAGCCAGATTAGCCAACTCCAAGCTGGTACAGCAGAGGGGCCTGTCCTGGGGCCTTTCAAAGTGATGGAAATGTTTGCAGAGCCTAAGCTGGTCTGGCTGTTGCACTGTCCCAGTTTGGACCCTACTGCTGGCGTGTTACTCAAAGAGCTTTCTGTGGGTGAAAACCAGGCCAACAGGATGGATGTGAACCCCACCCCCACCCCTTCAATGGAGGGGCACACTCATCCTGTCCTAAGCCCTTCCAGCTGATGGACCCGTGGGTTAGCATTATGCAGCACATAATGCAACTAATAATCTGCATTATGGTTTGTTTATTTCATTTCTCCAATGAAGGAGCACAGAAACGTGTCAGACATTTTAGAATGTTGTAAATTCTGTTTCCCGTACCCTTCTGAGGCTTTGCCCTTCTTGCCATTCCTGCCCTGGAGGTCTGTCTCAACTTCCCTGCCCACCCCTCCTGCCCTACTCCTCCCTTTCCAAGCAGTCATGTCAGCTTTGCCTGCCTTCCTGCACCCTTTTTCTCTAGCTGCACACAAACTTCCTCCTTCCTCATGATGGTCACCCAAGTTAGCAAAGGCTGTGGGCACTGAATAGGATTGACTGAGAGGCTGGCCTTTCTCAAAGTTCACATTTTAAAATTGCCCCCGTTCCAAATACTAGGGCTAGTTCCAGGTGAGATTTTTAGTAGCTTCACTACACTGATGCATTCATGGAATTTAAGGAGGATTTATTTTATTTATTTATTTTTATTTTTATTTATTTTTTGATTCATATCCTGCCTTTTTCCTACAAAGGGCTCAAGGCAGCTTACATCTCCTCCTCCATCTTATCCCCACAACAACAACCCTGTGAGGTAGGCTGGGCTGAGAGTCTGTGACTGGCCCAAAGTCACCCAGTTGGCTCCATGGCTGAGCGGGGACTCGAACCCAGATCGTCTGAGTCCCAGTCCCATGCTCTTAACCACTACACTGGGGGACCATGTCTCTACGTCATGGCAGCTATGCCATGGAGTACCACAGGGCTCCATTCTATCCCCTCTGCTATTTAACATCTATATGAAACCGCTGGGAGAGGTCATCAGGAGGTGTGGGCTGCGGAATCATCAATACGCTGATGATACCCAGCTTTACCTCTCGTTCTCCACTAATCCAGGTGAGGCAGTGGCTGTGCTGAACCGGTGCTTGGCTGAGGTAAGGGAATGGATGAGGGCCAATAAACTGAAACTCAACCCAGACAAGACGGAGGTCCTGTTGGTTGGCGGATCGGGTTTCGGAGAGGGTGGATTTGACCTGGTCCTGAATGGTGCAACACTCCCTCTTAGGGATAAGGTCCACAGCTTAGGAGTACTCCTCGACCCGGAGCTTTCTTTGGAAGCTCAGGTGACAGCGGTAGCGAGGAGCGCCTTCCTTCAGCTTCGGCTGATTAATCAGCTGCGCCCCTACCTGGAGTACGACTGCCTGGTGACGGTGACACACGCGCTGGTGACTTCCCACCTAGACTTCTGTAACGTGCTTTACGTGGGGCTTCCCCTGAAGACAGTCCAAACACTTCAATTGGTGCAAAATAGAGCTGCCAGGTTGCTGACGGGGACGGGGCGTT